TGATATAATTTTTTTGTTAGCGTAATTTTAGATAAATCCATTGCTTTCTTAGAAAAAATGCACTTTTAAAGTGTCTTTGTGCCTTAAAAGAGCCTTAAAGGAATGGTACGTTATGATTTTTGCTTTCGATTTTGTCAGTTCTCAGTTTTCACTTTTTATTGGAAATGAAAAATTCCTTTTTAGAAAAGCTATCAAAATTATTAAAAAAATGTGTTAAATGTAGCAGTTATGCAAGTTTTTAATATCATAAAAGGCGGATTAGTCAATGTGATTAAATCGAGTCTTTAAATATTAATTCTACTTGCTTAAAAAATGCATGAAAAAAAGTAATGAAATCAATCATTCGTTAACTTTTTTAATAACTTTCCACTCATTAAAGAATAAAGGTTACATTTGCCTTTCACCACTCATCAAATTTTTAATTATCCTTATCGAGATCTATTGAAAGGTTTCATCGGCGAAATAATGTTACTTCTTGGACCACTATTTATGGAATGAATAAATAAGTCAGCGCATTTAAAAAATAAGCTTTAAGGAATATATATCGGATAACTTAATCTTAGGAAAATTGTCGAGGAAAAATTATTGCAAAGGCATTTATCTGTATTTCAAACTAGTTCCAAGTGTCATGTATCAATAGATCATTTTAAGCGAATTTTTTCCATTTTTTTTCTACAAAAGAAATGAAATATTTGTTTTATGAAATATTTATGAAATGCTGAAAATAAATTAATAAGAAAAATTTTGGACTTATTTTTATTTTGAAATTTTTTGAAAATGGAAATTGCAATTAATTTTTGAAAATTTGCTTCTTTGGTTGAATTCGAAAATCTATATCTAAAAAATTTTTAGTACCATATAAATTTTGTCAATTTTCTGGATATGTTGTAATGCTTTTAAGAAATTCCAGGATGGTTCTCGCTTGCCAATGCTTTTACTAGTCATATATAGTCATATATTGGATTTGAATAGAAAAATGATTCTATGAGGCAAGACCTAGTTTATGAATTTTTATACGCATCATTTTAATTATAATTCTATGAGGTAAAAAAATGAGACTAATAGAGACTTTACTCGCATGTATCTAGAGATTCTGCTTGCTTCATTAAATAACTTGACTTATCATTATCAAGAAACAAAAATATTCGATAATAAATGAATTTCATTTTGTGTTATTGATTTCAACTGATAATATTTTGTCGATCACTTTGTATAATTAATTGTGACACATCGACTTGTCGATTAAATTCATTTTTTTTAAATAGTTGAATGCAATTATTTATTTTTCTTATAAGTATTCCTGCCAGTATGAAGCGTACAATATTAATATTTGAAGATATTTATCTTTCTTGCCACATATACTCCTTCAAATTCTTTTATTTTTAGATAAAAATTAAAGCTGAAATAAACTGAAATTTTTATTACAAATATTACAAATATATATATATATATATATATCATTAATTATATTTACATTTATAATAATATTTGATTAATTTGATTTGATTAATTTGAAACCTCAGTTTATCAGTTAATTTCATTTATTTAATCATTATTTATCGTAATTATTTTTTTAAACATTCAAACAACCTTCTCATTTTACTGATAATAATGTATCGAAACGTATAAACCTTTTACAAAATTTTTCATGAACGTAAACTAGATTTTTTTTATTTTTTACGGTTACTTCACCAATATATTTTCTACCGATATTTCTCGTTTTTTTAATCGTTTTACGTTACAAGTAAGTAAGCGGCAAATAGTTTAGGAATAATTGGCGAATTGCAATATTTTGGAACAATTTTCCCACCCTTCTGAAGTTACAAATTAATTATAAGAAATTTCACCAATAAGCAGTATTTTACCTCGCATCGATATATATATATATATATATATATATGTAAATATGTAAATAAGCCAAAAATGTCATGTTTTTTAAATTTTATGCTTATTTTTGTTTCGAGATATACGACTTCTAAAACATTTATCAACTTTAAATTCAAAAATTCAAAAAAATGATTCAATAACCGTTTTTGAATTAAGGTTTCCCATAAAATTAGGAAAAAATACAGTAGTCGTCTTTATGAATCCAATGGATAGAATAATGCATATATAAGGGTTTCATTTTTTTAATAATTTGTTTTTAAGGAGATTTCTGAAGAATATTAAATGAAAATGATTACCTTTTGAATACACTGGAACTATTTAATAAAACAATGATTAATTAATATAATAATAACAGTAAGGCGATCGGCTCACCTGTATTCCTATTATCACTAAGGGACCCGCTAGCATATTTGGCTAAGTCAGATCGGCCAACTCAGCGGAGTGTAAACCAACAATGGTGAATGCACTTTAAAAAAATTCATTGAATTGACGATAAAACGAGAAAACTCTTCGCAGGAATAGAAAATAGAAAATTACCTTCAAAAATAAAAATAAATTGCTCAAAACAAATAAATAATTCAAAATTGTCCAATTGTTCTCCAAATATTTTCATTATTACCAAAGAAAAAACCTTAATTGCGTATTTTGATTTACAGATTATATGAATGAAAATTATCTACTTGGAACAAAATTACAACTTTCTGCAAAACTGAAGAGTTAGAGAGTATAAGAGAGAATTAGCAGTAATGCAAAACAGTGAAATAAATTTAATTGTTGTTTCTCGCCTGACTTTTTTTATCCATCTTAGATTCTTAGGGCCAATTACCCAAAATTTTACCCTAAAATACCCGAACTGAAAGGGAAGTTATGCAAAATTTGCGATAATTATTCTCTTTTATTTTATTTCCATTTGATGAATGCGCTATTTGCTACCATAATTCAATAATAATAAGCAAATATGGCGTTGGCTGCAAATTGATATCTTATTAAGTTCGTATATTTACGATAAGTTGTTATACATCTTTATAATTGTGCATTGCCATATATTTGGACCAAAAGTGCCTTAGAACGACCGCAAAAAAATGGATTAGATTACTGCTTAGAAGTCCATAAACTTTAGCTAATACCAAGGCAACCAACGATTGCACTTTGAAAGCATCAAGAATTTTCATTTTTTTTGCATTCTTATGTTCCTACTGAATCTCAAATTTGAAGACTTTTTTAAAATCGACTTCGACTATTAAATTCTGGTTTAATGATTCAATATTTTATTAGATATATTACTTTGCGTATTATTCACATTAAGGCCATACGAATAACCAAATAGTTTTTCACTGGATTTCTCTCCAGAAACTTTTTGACCTATTTATTAATGCTTTATTTTTTATCCTACGATGGAAGATGCAAAAATATTTGCTATATTACAAAATTGAATTTTGGTCATTTTAACGTCAAAATAGCAAATTTTCTGTGTAGAAATTTTTGATTTCTGATATTGCAAGAATTTACATGACAATCATTTGGTAAAGCATTGTTTTGTGGTTTGTGGTACCATTGTAGATTAAATGGTTCTAAAATATGAAATAAAGAAAGGAAGAAATAAAGAAATATGGACTATATGATCAAAATACTGTTTCATTTGGTATGTTTCAAGAAATAAAAACGCTGTTCTCAAATGAAACTCTGTTAGAAATCGAAAACATTCCTAATATAATATATCAAAATACATAAATATTCAAATAGGATTTTTTGGTTTTCGGTCTTTGGTTTTTTCGAGTGATGAAGCAATTATATTTTTGATATCCATAATTTTTTAACGTGATATTGGTACTTTTTCTTTTGATAACTTATAGAGTTTCCGTCTTTTACATAAATAATGCAAAAAGCGTCGAATGATTAGAAAAATTTGTGCATTTTTCAGAAAATCAAAAAATATTATTACACCGGAGAAATTTATGTATGGGTGAGAGAATGCGTTTCTCTATGGATGCAATATTATGCACGAATGATTATTCAAGAGACGATGAACTAACAACACAACGGCGTAATCGAAAAAGGCCCTATAAGAAAATTATTTCAAGCGTAAATCAAGAACAAGGAATTAAATTAGCAATAGAATCAGCGAGCTCATATGAAGATTTTCGGTCGGAGCGTGAACACAGTCCCAGTAGGCCAGAAAGCTCTTCAGTGTCGGATGAAGGAGTCTCCGGCATCCCAAAAATTACAAAAGTGGATGAACAACATTCCAGTGATACAAATTTAGATTCTGATAGAAGGTTGCATATAATTTCCGATAAATCTGATTCTATTACGTCATGCATCACTCCTACTAAAATTGATCTCATTTCTATACGCAAAAATGATTTGGAACATGATATACAACCATGTTGTAGTCGAATGAACAGCATGGACAATGGCAGAACACAGTTATACATTTCGGAAGAACAACAATCTACATTGTCAATTAAAGATGAGGTAATTAGTGCATTCGAATTTTTTTATTCCATTTTGTTATGCAAGAAGTGCTGAAAATTAATTAATGTGATAATAGCCGATCGAGAAAAACCCATTCCAACTTGTTTTCAGTTTGGTATCTCTCTGCTTATATAGATTTGTCAAATGATTGAAACTGATAAAAATTATCAAATCAATTCAACCTCACGAGAGTATACGAATGTTTATAAAAATATATCCAATCATTCTCGCGCTTTTCCGAATAGAATCCTTGTATTCTGTTCACTTCTAACTCCATAAATGAATGAATGAATACTTTATAAAACTTTCTAATGGATAACCCAATTTTTAAACAAGGTGTAGATGGATTCATCAAGCTTTTTTTCTCATAAAATCGCTGTTTCTAATAATTTGGAAACCAATCAGTTGAGGAAATTAATCAAGTAATTAATTTAATCTTAACTTTAATCTTAATTTTAGATTGAACCACTCGATTACCATTCACTTAATGAAAGTAATCCTACCTCATCAAATAAGTCTCGGGAGAATGACAGTTCTGATGACGATGGTTTTATCAGTGAAGTGTACAGGTATGTTGGAAAATACAGTTCTATCTAAACGCTATATCAAAAAGGCGAATTTCATTTTAGCCAACATCGATGCAGGCCAGTAATTCACCATTTTCACGATATATAGTATTTGCTATTTAAATAGTATTCTTAGCCTCTTTCATCTACTAAACTTAAATTTTTCGCATAAAATCAGAATTTGATACCTTTTTCTCATGGATTCCGTTATGCGGGAAGTATTTGGTCATTTGATTGGCTTATAGCTACTGAATAACGCTAACTGTTCTTTGCAAATACATAGGAAAAACTCTTTTCTACAGTATCAAACAGAACAAGACCGTAATATCAGAATTAAAGAACATAATCATCATTTTTAGAGAAACAGCTCAGATTACTCGTTCTAAAACTACTTCAGCTACAAAACCAGCCTATTCATATATTGCACTTATAGCAATGGCTATACTTAATAGCCCAGAAAAAAAATTGACTTTATCACAAATCTGTGAATTTATCATTAATCGATTCCAGGTAAGAAAAGTTCTAACTCAATATTTATTCGGTATTTCATAAATGAAATGCTGATAAAACTGATACTCATAAAACGTTAAATATTCGGCTATTTATCTTTTTTAATGGAGCAATTCCTTTTGTCCATCTATTTATCTTTACTTAATTTACTACGTTAGTGCTTTCGGAAAAAAGTGTACGTGATCGATCCACTTTTAATCCCACAAAGCGCGTTTTGTTTTATAAGCATACTCAAACACTAGTCCTTTTAGTTATGAAGAACTGCATTCAACCATGTATCGCTAACTGATTACGATATTTGAATCCAAATCAATATAAATAAGATGAAAACACTCTTATGTACTATTAATTCATCAATCGATGATGCATAGCCAGACTTTAAATATCTTGGATTCACTTTTGGATCTTTGATTCACAAATAGCTAAGCGAGAGACCGAAATTGCAGTGCGGATAGAATTTCCTTCTTCCTTGTGCAACCTTTGAGGAATCGTTGCGGAATCGACATCAAAAAAAAGTTCATCTCTCTAGCAAGAGTGCAAGTGCAAGAAACACCTTTTAACTTTGTTATATAAACGTATATTTTGCTTCCAAAAATTCAACAACTCACTGTGCCTTTAGTGAATGCGAAGTGTCTATATTAACAATATCGTTATAGAATATCACCTATGCTATTTAGGCCATATTCTTCGATTTCCATCAAGGTATTGAAATATACCTTGTTGTTGAATTCTGTGATTGGTGGCGTCAAACTCAAATGAGAACCAATCAAGATTTGGAGCTAGGATAGATTTTGAGTACATAGAGCGATATATAGCCTTAGAAGTAGAAAAAGAAGTGGCTTTTGTTCCATTCTGATATGGCTGAGAGGCTTGAAATATCGTTATAACCAGCTGAATTATTCAATGACGCAAGTTCTAGAAAAAGAAAAAAACGAATCCGAGAAGAAACGGTTTGGTTTCATCCTTAATTTCGTCTTTAAGGGCTGCACAAGCCTTTTTCTTCATATACTGATCAATAAGTATAAATGTATAAGCTTTTTTCTTTATCATTTACTGTGAATACGATTATTTTTATGACTGGTTTTGATAATATCGCTCTAGACAATCGTCCTTTCAAATTCCTGTTCATTAACTTTACTTCTCATCATTTTACTTTTAAACGATCTTCATCAGAAATCATTAAATTAAAAATTTCATAGAAGAAAAACGCTATTATTTCATTAAAATAGCGTTCGATTTCTATTTTTGTTTCAGTACTACAAAGACAAATTTCCGGCTTGGCAAAATTCTATTAGGCATAATCTTAGTTTGAATGATTGCTTCATAAAGATTCCTCGTGAGCCAGGTAATCCAGGCAAAGGCAATTACTGGGCACTCGATCCAAAAGCAGAAGATATGTTCGACAACGGATCGTTTCTTCGACGGAGAAAGAGGTTGGTCATTATAGAAAACGTGCTATTTGCAGAATGGAGGATTGACTATTAGGATGGAACAACGGTTTTTTTTTGAATTATCTGATTGTTAAACTTTTTTACAACGAACAGTGAAATGAATGGACGGTGGATATAGTTAACTGTCATCGGAAATGGCTAACTGTGCAGCCACAATCTTTTTTCTAACAACACGAAACATCTCTGGCTCAGTTGATTGTGAAGTCGATTATTCACAAGAGCTAGTAAAAATGCTGATCCTCGACATTCTACTTTTTTTTCCACTTTTACTTGTTCTAAAAAGCCGTGATTATATTCATATCGATTATTATTAGAATATTTCAGGTTCAAAAGGCAACCGAATTCGCCCGATTATTCACCAGCTTTTCCAGGAGTACCATTTGTATCACCATCACCTTACATGCCTCCATTTATCTCTTCAGCAGTAGCAACGTTGCCTCGAATCGCCAACATTCATCCGACTCTTCCACCATATTCGCCCCATGCGGCTATTGCCCATAGCTTGACCGAACATTTTCAACGTGCACCAACCGTCGGCTCCCAACCTACCCGTTTTGCATACATTCCTACTGGTATGCCTCCAAATATTGATCACCAAAAAGTTTTGGCTGCTATGGCTGCTCGTATATCAATTGATTCTCCAGATTCTGGTCAAACAAATTGAATATGGATTTTGATCACTAACAATATTAAAGGTTGATGTAGACAATTTAAAATATATTTGTAGGTTTTTATGGAAAGGCCAGAGAAAAATTTTTAGAGATTTTATTTTATATTCTGTGTTTGTCGATTAGATTTTTTTTGAGATATTATGATTTTTTAAATTTCCTTAATAATTTAAAAATTTTTCCAAGCTGATCTGAATTCGGAAATCAGAATAAATACTTTCAGATATTCTCTGGGAAACTATTGGCTCTATTTTAAAATAATTTTGTCTATAAATAACCTAATTTATTTGGTTCCGAGATGATCGGTGCTAATGCTGAAATCTTAATTCTCATTGTTCATTTTGAGAATATCGGGTTTGCAAATAGTAATGGTAATATTATCATATAGTTACAATCTTCGTTTCCATGATTAAAAGCAGTGGTGACAAAAATGAAGTGAAAGTAGGCCACGATTACCCTAAGGCATACAAATTACCGTCAAAGTGAAAAATTTTCCAACACTTGAAGCACATTATCTTGTCATTATTTGCATTAAGTTAATTTTTTTTGCCCAGTCACAGTCTAATTTATTTAATTTCTTTAATTGAATATGTACTTCATATTTATTTCATTTTCTTCAGGTGATATCTTATCATTTTCGTAAAAAAAAGTCGAAAAAACTATTTCTTCAAGTCATTATCACCATCTGAAACTTATTTTTTTAATCTTCATGCTTTGTCTTTTTTAAATCAATTAAATAAATCAATTATTTATTTTATTATCAATTATTTATTTAAATTATTGCAATGATAACATTTTATTTCTGAGGAAATTCGCATAAAATAGTCGAAAATGAAAATTTGTTTGGGATTTCTGGGAACTGGGTCAGCTATTTTGAACTTTTTATTAAATATTGCATTATTTTCAAAAATCTCATATTGATTAAGCAAATCAACAAGCTATACTTTTGTGCATATCTACATGTTCTCAAGCATTTCTCGATTGTTTTCTTAAATGAAAAACTCAAAAAATAGAATTTTGATGGCATTATTTTATTTTATTTTAACATGTGAAATCGTAATAAATACTATGGTCAAATAATTATTTATTATTATTATTGTTTATTATTATTATTATTAATGTAATATAAGTAAATGAAACGAATAAAACGATTAAAATGCATTAAAAAATTGTTTTGAAAAAAAATTTATATATTTATGAGGTACTAAGGTAATCTATAGAAAAACATTTCACAGATCCATAGACCGAGGCTTAAAGTTGTATATTTTGAATAATTCACATATTAAATATATTACACATATTTAAACATACATATATTATATAACAAACATATATATTTTATTCAGCACTAAACAACATTTATATTTATATGATAATTTTAAAATACAATTTGTATATCGCGAAATTTAATTTCGATAACTGGCAATATTAATGCATAATAAGCGAATATGTGGGATAAGGATAATAAAATTGTGAAGTTGGAGAAAAAAAGCCTATTAAGAGAAAAGTAGTTTACAGGTCGGTAACTGCATTGGAGAATAAAAGTTAAATTTAAATAAATTTCAATTTTAATTTTCTTTGCAATTAGTAAGCAAAGGCGCTAGCTAGTTTATAATTGAAGATTTATTGGCCTTATATAAAAAAACTTGATCTGCTTTTCACATAATCGATCACAATGCCAGCAATGCCAGCATTCGATAATTTTGCTATATTTCAAAAATAAATGCAGAAATTAAGGGAATCTTAAATGTTCAACGATGAACATTTTCTCTTTACATATTTGGATATAGATTTTTTCTGTTGGATTAAGGCAAGTTTTTTGTGTTTTGCAAGAAGTTTTTATATCAATTCTGGCGATTTATACAAAATTGCTCATATTCTTACAGTTGATAACAATATCACTCGAGAAATAATTGTTGTACACTTGCCAAGCCATAATACAAACCATCATTTGTCTTCAATTTTTAATTTTCAAAGGAGTGGCAAATTGTGTAGAATTGTGTAGTTGTGTAGAAATTACTTACAAAAGAGAATCGATCTGACAAATCAAATCAAATTAGAAAATCTGAAATCGAAAAACAACGGGGCTGTCAGATTTCATTATTTTGATGTGCGTTTAAACCGATGTTGTCTTATGATTCGTAAATATTTTCATTTGTACAAATGAACCAGTTTCAATCAAATGTATACATTAAGATTTCGATTTTCATCAAAAATAGTTCGAGGATCCCTTTTGCACATCCATTAATTGAGGGGTAAAAATTATTTTTCATTATATCAGTCGGTCCCATTTTTACAAAATTTGTAAATTTATTTTTATAAATTTTATAAATTTGATATAGTCGAATTAGAATTGTCTCATCTTTAGACTGTTTCTATGATCAAATTAGTGGCACTTTAAAATGAAACCATAATTTAGAAGTTTAAAAATTATTCGATATTATCGAGTTGATATTACAAATTGGTCTTGGACAGCAAATTTTGGTATTTCACAATCTGACACGTATTAATATAGCTGTAACTTCAATTTGTTTTTTTTTGCACTTACTTTTTGGCAAACAAAAAGGGCGTCTAACTATTCAAATTGTACTTTTGATTTTAATATTTTTATTATAAATTGATCATTTTGCTAACGATCGTCTATCTGTGTACTATATTACTCGAGTTACACAGGTTCGTTACAGTACTTTGCTGGCCATAAAACATCACATAAAATCGTTGGCTCTTTGTGAAAATGCCGCTGCCAATGTGAAAATTGACCTAGCGTACATATCGTCTTAACAATTAATACTGATTGATTATGGTGCAACAAACTTGCAGCCAATTGTTTATATGATGAAAGAGAAAGAGAGAGAAAAAAGTAGAGAGTAAATTTTTGAAATGTAATCTTAATAATCTTATAAATATTATATTTAAATAGTAAAAAATAAGAAAATATAATTGAAAAAAAGAAAAATTAAATTTCAATAAAGAAAGATGATTTCTGTTATTAAAATATTTTTAATATAAATAATTCTATTTCAAAAAATATTTTTGCATAAGTCGTTGTGTGTGATCGACAAATTGCTTTGTTTAAAATCATCATTTGAGCATTTAAGTGTAATTCAAGATAAATTACTTACAACAACAATATGTTATTAGAAACAATTTTCATCGTATATTAACGGCAAATCGCTTGCTTTAAAGAAAATGTGAGATAAAGTTGTAGAAAGGAGGGGAAATAAGATAAATTGTTGATTTGATGATTTTAAAATAATCTTATCTTAGCCCCTCTGCTCTAAAATATATATTGCTATATATACACAAATATTTAGCAAACTTAATCAATTTAATTCGAAATATTAAATAAAAATTTATAATTACAATTACCAATTACGACTGGGAAGACTGGGAAGGCACTACAGTGAGTTGTTGCCTTCCTTGTGGAATGTCGATGCTAGGGTTCCATTCTCTGCAGGATTAAACTCATCTTTTACAAATAACGATGGCTCAGCTATATATGCCAAGTGTAAACTAAAAATTTCCTGTTCAGCAAGCTAACATAACGAGATGATGACTAACGAGAAATGGTGCGCTCTTAGCGAAAAAATTACTTAGCAAAAACAAAAACGAAGGTGAGAATTTTAAAAAAGAATGATGAATTACATGGAGTCGTAAAATTGATAGCCGCAGCTTGAAACGCTTTAATCTTAATAATAGGAAGTTTCTGTGGTGTCGCTGTAACATCAAGTTAATACCAAAACGAAAAACCGCATTTCGTCGTTTTTAACTTCAGTCTTCCGTTCCACGAATCGTTAAAACATAAAAAATTCTAGACTCATAAATACATTCACTTAGAATCATATCAGTTATATCATATCATTCAGATGGAAATTAAAGCATTTTCGCAAACACAATGTCGTTTTTAAAAAAAAAAACAAAAACAACGTTAATGGTGAAAGAAGAGTGTTCTGCCATTTGGAAATTCGAAACTCTTTCTATAATCGCATATAAACTCATTTTCTTTTTAAAATTACCTACTAACCATTTCGTATTGGCATTTTTTATAAATTTATGAAACAATTGCAATTTTGCTCTGATTATTCCGTCTCATCATTTTCGAGAACAAAAAGTGCTAAGAAATCAGTTTCCTAAAATCCGAATCAAAAATTAAATTCTACTTTTTACTATCAGTCGTACTTTGAAATAAAAAATTGCCCGCAAATGAGATGTTTCCGTTATAAAATTATTATTAATCTAAGCAAAAATCTAATTAAATTTTTTTCAATATAGTTGTAATTTTGAAAAATTTTAAAAAATGGCAATCAGCAATTTATTAAAAATTAATTGATTAATTTTGTACTTAATTGATAACCCTTTTTTAGCAGTTTTTTAGTCGAAAATTAAGGAAAAATTTCTTGAAATTTCTTGTGGAAACTGTCAATAATATTGTTTTGAGAAAAAAATTTTTATGAGAAAATCTCGCATGCACATATTAAGAAATGTTGCGATTTTTGGTTCTTTAGAGCACTTTGGACTTTTCTGCTCCCAAGAAATGATAATCGGATGAAGTCTGTAGTCTATGCGGACAGAACTGTGCATAATCACGAATTATTATTCCCAGACTATAGATATGTGGGTTTGCTCAATTTCGTGTGAAACTATATATAAAGCCGTTGTTACTAAAGGATACTATTTCATAAGGCGTATATAAGTTCTAATATAAACCAAGTGCCGACAGTTTATTCTATGAAGACCTTAACTTTGCTGACGCCAAATTAGTCCATCGGTGGCTATAAATGAATGAATGAATAGATGTATTTTCTAAGAAAACTCACTATTTCTGACTTCTGGCTTGTTCTACTGGCGCATTCCGAGCAAATTTTGTCAAGGAATCAGTCAATTGGCGATAGAAATAATGATAAATACAGTGAGCGTCGCAAGAATTTTTGAAAGTCGGATTTATTTTTCGAATCAAAATCCAGCACCATACTAAGAAACAAACTGCTATCCATTC